TGCAACGTCAAGCTTTTTTGCGTCTTCGGCGTAAGTAGTAACTTGACCATTCTGTCTTTTAAGATGGTTTAATTGTGTCAATTAGTGGCAAGAAAGCATTATTTTAGAAAGACTCTTTTATGCTAGAGAAGTCACCGACGCTTGATTGATGCAAAAAAAAATGTTATAGATTCTTTGAATAACTCTAAACAACAATATATACTTCACCAATTTGGGTCCGTCTGATATAACTACGTTACGTGTTGAAACCTTCCTTTTTTCCAACTAATGATTTTGGAGTTGGGTCAAACAGATAACGAGGCAAACAAAAAGCTGAATCAGTTTCTATAGAGTTTATAAGCCATCTCCTCTTCACTTTTTCATCATTTGCGAAAAATCTGTTGTGATTGTGATACTATCATCTGTTTCAACTATTATAGACTTTAAAATACATTTAGGCTGTTTGTTTTTCTTTAATGCTTTCTTTTTTGCTACAAATATCCAAGGATAAGGTTGATGAGCATGTGGCAAAACTAGCTGAAGAAGTTGAAATACACAACAGAGGGTTAATCACATTATCTTTCTTTTGGTTAGATGGAGACAGAGTGGAGGTCTCACTAGATGTTTTAAAGAAATTTTCATCACACAAAATGTTTGATTCGAAAGGTTGTGAAGAACATGGAGAAAGATATTTTTTAAAGCTATGAAGATCACTAAAATAAATTGGCCGTAGCGCCCCCCATAGGCCGTGGCGCTTGCCCCGGTTGTCTCCCCCCCCCCTCCTTGGGACGGCCCTGCTTATTACATAGGGACTAAAAAGTTTCAGCATGTGTTTTTTTCCGTTTTCAGCATGTGTTTTATATATATATATATATGTATATGTATATCTATATATATATATATATATATATATATATATATATATATATATATATATATATATATATATATATATATATATATATATATATATATATATATATATATATATATATATATATATATATATATATATATACATATATATGTATATGTATATGTATATATATATATATAAATTTATATATATATATATATATATATATATATATATATATATATATATATATATATATATATATATATATATATATATATATATATATATGTATATATATATATATATATATATATATATATATATATTTATATATATATATATATATATATATATATATATTTATATATATATAAATAGAAAAAATAAGGTCGTTAAAAATTGTCTACTCATAAAACCTTTAGGGTTTAACCAATCTACAAACGAGAAATTCACAAAAAGAAAAAATGCTGAGTTTCCCAACTTTTCTTTCGCACGTTATCGTTTCATTAAAATTTTGAAAAATTATTGCAGCGTTTTACCATTTTATTAGAAATTTAACTAAAACATCATTTTTGCCAATTATTTTATTTAGAATTAATTTAAAATTTGTTTTTCCGTTTTTATTTCAACTGTTTTTCTTTTTTTACAATTTTGAATAAAAGATTCGTATTTAAAGTTTAAATGGAGCGTTCATTTTCCTTTTCAATTTTATTTTAATTTTACTTTAATTCTATTTACAATTTAAATAAACTTTTAAATAAATTTAAATGTTTAATTTAGAATTTAAATAAAGCATTCGTTTTACCGCTTTTAATTTATTTGAAATAGCAAATAAAGTTTAACTTTCAAAATTGCACACGCCAGTCGCAGTAAATTACATATGATAAAGACTATAAACATTTGCCAATAAAAATTGAGATGTTAAGGGAGGTCGGGGGAATGGTAGCCCCATAAGATTTTTTGCCATTTTAAAGGTTGTATTATAATGGTTTGAGCTGTAACTATGGTAGAAGATTTACTACAATGTATATTATAAAGTATTTTATTGGCAAATTTGTACAAAAAATAATTAACGAGTTATTACAAGAAAAAAGTTAAACAAAATAGCCAGTATTATCCCATAACTTTGGGCCAATTGGGGCAATTGTGGCAGCCTGGTCAGCATTACCCCAATTCTTTTGTCGAATACGAATAATGAAAACAAGAATGATAATTATTAAAAATAAGTTTTAGAAGAGTTTAAGAGAACTAGTTTATGAGTTTAAGAATATATTTATAAAAATAAGTTGTACAATATTACTATTGAATTCAATAGTCACAAATATAAATATTGTTTTTATGGAGGAGATCTGTACAGTCATTGTGGGCCCAGTCACCACATGCAGCACAGGTTACCCATCATTCTCGGTTTTTACCATATTCCCCACAAACTAAACAAACATCTGAAGACTTTTCTATTTTCTAGCCATTTTATACGGCCATGATTGCCCCGTATAAAATGGCAATAAAAATCATAACCCCAAAATGAATCAATTTTTAATAACAAAAATAAAAACGTATTTTCAAATAAGAAGATACTTACATTTTATATATTTAAAAACTAGAATAATTATATTTCTTATCAGGCTTAGACTGGGCCGCCTGGTTATAGGGAGATTCCCGTGGGCCGGTTATCCCCAAAAAAGTTATCATATAGTTAGGCAGAATTTTATTTCCCGTTGATTATTATAATCAACGGTAAATTAAAATGTAACTAAAAACATAATAACTTTTTTTTTTGGTCTCTAATTACAAGCCAATACATCTGCCGGCTAATTATACAAATTTTGGCGGCCATCTTTAGCTGACCGAAAGTAGTATTATATTAACATAAACAAACCAAATTAGTTAACAAATGTTAAACTATTGATTTTATAATATAATTTTATATAGCTTTTAATTTGTTGTTTTTTGTGAATTGTTTACTGATAGAAAAGTCACAGATTGGTATTATTGATAATATTTTGTTGTTATAAATTATGTTACTATTTATGTTTGCTGCACTATGTATTTTGTTGATTGCACATCGAAATTTTGTCGGCAAGTATTTAGTATATGAACTTAATGGCGGATTTAGACAAAAGCTGCAATAGGCTGCAGCCTATGGGAGACACGAGGCCCTGGGGCGCCACAAGAAAAAAGTAAGAAAAAAAATGAAAAAGAAAATTAAAGTAAGAAAGAAAAAGTAAAGTCATCTAAAGCTTTATTTATTTTTTTACTTATTTACGATTTCATCCGAATTAAAATAAATAGTATTCGAAATTCGAATACTATTTATCCTTATTTTGTAAATAAATAACGTAAAAAAATAAATAATCAAGTAACACAAGTTATTTATTTTTTGCACATTGACATGTTACAAACATTTCATGATATTTCTACATCAATCAAATTCAATAATGACGTCCGTTAATGAGCGAAAGCTCTTTTAGATTCATTGACAAGTTTTAAATTTATTTTGACGGCACAATTGTTTTTAAAAGTATTTGAGCACACAACGCCATTTTCTGAATATTGCAAACAGCTGGAATAGATATACTAAGAGCCTATAAGATGGTTCTAGACAGTATTAATGAATTAAGCAAAGTAGATAGAAATTTTGTTCCATTTTTAAAGCAGCTACAAATTTCTCAGAACTTGCAAACACTGAACCGGGAAAAAGGAATCTCGGCATTGAAGTTTGAAAGAGAAAAGAATAAGAGCCAAAATAACTACTTTAAAGTGCGAATGAGAAATTTCGTGTGAATGTTCACAACATGGTAATGGATCAAGTAATCAGTAGTTTAAAACAGATATTTTCAGAGCATGGTAGTCTATATGCTAATTTATCTTGTTTAGATCCAAGAAATTTCGCAGAAATTTTGAAAAAAATGCCTAGTGACGCATTGCAGAGATCAGTAGTCTGCTCAGAAAATTTTATGCGTAACAAAAGATTAGCTACAAACGGAATTATTGAACGTTGCAAGGAAATGAGAGAGTTTTGAAGTAACTCTTGAAGATGAAAATATTTTATTATTTGAGACAGAAGTATTTGACTCAGTCTCGGACAATTTCCAACAATCTAAATCCGTAGAATTTGAAACTGTCTTTACAATCCCAGAAGTGGAAAACAGCAACAGCCACAGAAATAAATGCAAATCTTGCAAAAAATATATTGTTTGTTGTTACCTTGTTCTCCAAAAGTTCAACTTGCAAAGTCTTGCGTATTCAAAGTTGTTTCTGGCTTACAAATTTATGTTTACATTATCCTCATCGCAAGTTGCTAGTGAAAGGTCATTTTTGAAATTGAAATATATAAACAGATTAAGAAGCCTAATGAGCCAGTCAAGTTTACAATCATTCATACTGATGTCTTGTGAAAAAGGCCTTTTTCCAAGAAGTAATAACAATGCAATCATTGATGTTTTGGCATCTACTAGTCAAACGTTGAAAAAGTTGCTATAATAGTCGATATTTTGAGTAGTGGTCGTGTCGATTATTTCTACTGTTTTTAGACTTCAACTTACAGCAGTGTCTTAGAAATATTTATTTTTATCAATATTAAGGCTGGGAAGTACAAAATTTATTTTTTAAACTTTAAGTAATAATAAACAATAGTGCACCTAAAAATGAAAGGGTTCTTCACTTATAATATAGGTAAATTTATAAAAATAATGGCGTTAATCATGGTTGCTCTCCCGGGCGACGTGAAGACTCTCGGCGCCACTATATATATATATATATATATATATATATATATATATATATATATATATATATATATATATATATATATATATATATATATATATATATATATATATATATATATATATATATATATATATATATATATATATATCGAACCGAACTTTCGAAAGTTCGGTTAAACTAGCTGAACCGAAAAGTTATATATAACTGTTCATATTTGAAGTAAAACATCTAATGCTAGTTGTTTTTTTTACCTGATTTTTGGAATAAATGTTAACGGTATAGTTGTTTGTATAATTCAGAAAAAAAAAGTGAAAAAAGTTTATTTATGCCTGAGATATGAATGTTCAGAGCTTAAGTGACTTAAGCTTAGGCGATTTTAAGGTATAAATTTACTTTCAAAAATTTGATTTTTTTGTAAATTTACATTTAGGCTCATTTTGAAAACTGCAATTGTTTTCCAGTTGATTGTGTTAATCAATGTGGCTTAAGTATTTTGCGTAAAGAGGTTAGACATATGATCAAAAAATACAACTTTTTATTAAAAGAATATTGATTTATTTTTTGTATTTTCATTTTTTTTTACTTGAACATTATTAAATATTTTTGATTATGCAAAATTAAATAATTATACATAGATGCCTTCACATATTGCTAATTACTGCGCTTTCTCACTTATTCCTTGTCAATACTTTAACATTGGATGCAATTTCCAGGTAAGAAATTTTTTTTACAAAGTAATGGAATTTTAACGTATAGCATTTTAAAATTAAAATTTAAAAATTTTTCCTTTCATATCAAATAAGAAATTTGCAAAAATGTTTATTACCATGCCTAACTGTTCCGACTCAATTTTAAGAAAACGTTAATGGTAATGCAAATTGTTATGCTCCATTAAAGTTTTTATTTATAATTTTTTTTTAAAAAATCAAACTTAATCAATTTTAAATCTAGTAAAAGAATTAGCGCTCAAAAGATATTTAGCTAATATAAAAGATTTTTTTGATATGTAGCACTCAAATGACGCTAGGATATTTTATTCATTTAATTTTGCGCACTAATTACTTTCTCAAAAAAATATCATTGTGTGGTATTTGTTATTATTACTAGTTGTTATTATTACTAGTTGTTATTATTACTAGTTGTTATTATTACTAGTTGTTGTTATTACTATTTGTTATTATTACTATTTGTTATCATTTCTATTTGTTATTATTACTATTTGTTATTATTACTATTTGTTATTATTACTATTTGTTATTATTACTAGTTGTTATTATTACTATTTGCTATTATTACTATTTGTTATTATTACTAGTTGTTATTATAACTATTTGTTATTATTTGCTGTATCTAATAAGCTATGAAATTTTATTTTATTTTTATTTATTAACTGCAATAAAACAAGCCGTAAAAATAACTTTTGTGTGTATGAGATTTTAATTATTCTACTAAATTAAGACTTTTTCTTCTACCGATTATAACTTTCTTTTACCGATTATAACTTTCTTTAACCGATTATAACTTTCTTTTACCGATTATAACTTTCTTTTACCGATTATAACTTTCTTCTACCGATTATAACTTTCTTCTACCGATTATAACTTTCTTTTACCGATTATAACTTTCTTCTACCGATTATAACTTTCTTCTACCGATTATAACTTTCTTCTACCGATTATAACTTTCTTTTACCGATTATAACTTTCTTTTACCGATTATAACTTTCTTCTACCGATTATAACTTAAATCATTAAACTTTCTAAAATTGTTCAATGCGTATTTATTTTATGTAATTTATACAAAAAATTTGCGGATTTGCGGATCCTTGATTAAGTTGATGTATACATCACTACTACATATAAATATTTTGATTGTATTTTAAATTGTATACTAACTTCAAGTTTAAATTTGATGTGTTTAATCATTACTACACATCCTCCTCCATTTCCAAAATACACATCCAAAATTTTTATTTCTTTTTTATGATATTTAGATTTTTTAATTTATCACGTATCATAATTATCGCGTTCTTAAGAGCAAAAAAAATCATTTACTTTAATAATGCGTGCAAACCTCAAAATTATAACTGATAGACTAGACACAATAGAGAAAGACAACAACACAAGTCGAAAATAAAGAATATCAAGAAAGACCTGAACGAAATAAAAGATAGCCTCAGCTTTCAAGAGAATAAAACTTTAGAAAACATATCACACTTAAAAAAATATTATGACAATTAAATAAATACATTATATAAAAATCAATAGACTTGGAAAATAGTTCTAGAAGAAATAATCTAAGAATAAATGGACTAAAAGAGTCTCCTGGAGAAAGCTGGGACAATTGCGAAAAAAACTATTTAATAGTCAAATAGTGTTTTGTAAACTAAAAATAATATCTTTGCAAATGGTTTATACGACGATGATTTATTTATTTTTAATGGACCAGTCTCTTCATACTTTGACACTAAAACTTTTAAAGCTAAACTTCATAACTATATAGGCGAGTTTACGGAAATACACATAAACATTAGGAGCTTAAATAAAAATATCGATAAGTTAAAAATTTTCCTTATCGAATGCAAATATTCCTTTAGCATGATTTGTCTTACAGAAACTTGATGTTCTGACGAAAGTTCAAACCTCCTAATCCTTAATTATAATCTTATTTCTTATGAAAAAAAAGCTTACAAAAGAGGAGGTGGAATAATAACCTACATCCACAATAACTTAAACACAAAAATTAGAAATGATCTTTACATTTCCGATTCAAATAGTGAGATCTTTACAGTTAAAGTCATTAATGATACTACAAAAAATCTCTTAATATCCTCTTGTTATAGACCGCCCGATGGAGATGTTATAACGTTTTCAAATTTTATGAAACAAATATATATAAAAAGCAATGTTGAACATAAAAACTATTCTGTATTGGTGACATGAACATAAATTACCTCAGTTATCATAAACACGCAAATACCAAAATTTTTTTCGATGATATGATACAACATTACATTTTCACAATTATAAACAAACCCACCCGGGTAACTCCCACCTCAATTACAGCTATTGACAATATATTGACAAATTCAATTCAAGATCCATCCTTAAAAGTTGGAATAATTAAAACGGATATATCTGACAACTTCCCAATTTACTTCTCACTATCACAACAAGCAACACGTGTCAATAACTTGAAAATAAAAAATCATCAAAAGAAGCATTAATAAATTTTCGACTCAAAAACTAAAAGATTCACTAGCGATAGTAAGTTGGTCAAAAATATATCATGAATGTAGCCTCGGACGCACAAACTCCGCTTACAGTAAGTTTATAGATATTTTCCTAAATCTCTACAAAAAACATTTTTTAAAGGTCGAAAAAGATTTTAAAGCAAAGTACCTAACCACTCCATGGATTACCAAAGGAAAAAGAAAATCGTTAAAACAAAAACAAAAACATAAAATATCTAAAAAATAGAAACGATATTAATTTGTCTAAGTATAAGAAATATAAAAATAAACTCGAACCAACTACCTCCAAAAGTTTTCATAAGTGAAAAAGAGTTTAATAATAAAAAATCTCTGAAAAATTTAACATATACTTTGCAAGTATAGGTTTTAAAATCGCCTCTAAAGTTCAACCTACAAACAATTCATTTGAGAATTACATCAAGGACTCTCGTTGCTCTCTAGTTTTTAAAGAACTAGAATACGAAGAACTTGAAATAGCAGTTAAAACATTAAAAATTAACAAAGATCCAGGTATCAAAATTATATCCCAGCCAATATAATTTTGAATGTCTTCCCAGAAATAAGTAAACCCATTTTTCAAATATTTAACTCCTTAATAAAAACAGGAATTGTACCCGACTATTTAAAAATAGCTAAAATTATTCCTATCTATAAATCCGGAGATACATTCTCATTAAATAATTACAGACCAATATCAATCCTTCCCGTATTTTCAAAACTACTCGAACGAATAATATAGAATCGTTTATATAAATACCTAACCGCAAACAAAATCCTGAATGAAGACGAATATGGTTTTCAAACTCAGCATTCGACAGAGCATGCTATCGTAGACCTCATCAAAAGGATTAGTAAATCAATTTATGAAAAGAAGTTCGTATTAGGAGTCTTTGTAGACTTGTCAAAAGCGCTCGACACAATAGATCATGAAATTCTACTAAAAAAGTGGGAAAAATACCGATTAAAAAACCATACACTGCGGTGGTTTAAAAGTTACCTGTATAACAGACGACAGTGTGTTATTACAGATGATAATTACCACACTAAATTATTAAAATTAACTTGCGGTATTCCCCAAGGTTGATTCTTGCTCCTCTTTTGTTCCTAATCTATATAAACGACCTTCCAAAAGTTTCTAGCAAACTTGAATTTATAATGTTTGCAGACGATACAAATTTATTTTACTCTTCGACAAACATCAAGGATCTGTATGATAATGTAAACATAGAACTCCAAAAATTAAATATATGGTTTAAAACAAATAAGTTATCCCTAAACATAGAAAAAACAAAATACACTTTATTTCATTCAAACCAACAAGGTAACACACTACCAAATATTTTACCCTTTCTAAAAATAGAAAATATAGTAATTGAGAGAACTCACGAACCTAAATTTTTAGGAGTTATAATTGATGAAAATTTATCTTGCGAAGCTCACATAAATGCTTTAAACACTAAAATATCAAAAAACATAGGTCTACTTTATAAAGCTAAACCTATGCTGTCGCAAAGTTACTTAAAACCTATATATTTCTCTTTTATACATAGCTACCTCATATATGCGAATATAGCTTGGACGAGTACGCATATAACCAAATTGAAAACTTTATATCGACGTCAGAAACATGCTATAAGACTAATCTACCGTAAAGACAAATTTACAGATGCTGAACCCTTATTTAAAGAAATAAATGTGCTTAACATTTATCAAATTAACATTTACCAAAATATGTTGTTTATGCTAAAATTTAAATTAGGTCAAGTACCAAACCATTTTTTATATAACTTTTTTTTAAATAACGTTAATAAATATAACAAGAGAAACAGGAAACTTTATTACACCTTTCAAAAAAACAAAACTTTCCCAGTTCTCAATTTCATATCGGGGTCCTTATATATACAACAAACTATAGTTTGCTGTATATATAATTGATTTATTTTTAGTTCCTATAGGAACTAAAAAGAAATCAATTTTCAATCTAGATAATCAAAATTCCTTGAAAATAAAGTTGAAAAATATGATACTGAATCTAAACAGATACTCTGAATTCTTCTAAGACTATAAATTAAATTACATATACATCAACTACAAAATGAATTGACTCGTTTAAGTGTATTATCTAAATGACTCTTACCTTTCTCAAACAATATATCAAAAATTGTTTATTACACAAAAAAAAAATATTTGATTTTTTTTATCAATTTTAGTTATTATGCTGCTTGTTATGTTTAATTTTTTATACTGAGCTTATTTTAAGTTTATTTTTTTATTATTATATTTTTATTATTATATTTATATTTTTTGAGTTATTTTGAGCTTATTTTTTATACTGAGCTTAGTTTAATTTAAAGACTATAAAAATATAGTTGTACTTAATATATAATTAAATTTAACATAATCATAATATATATCAAACACATTGTAAGGTCTTCGTGATAAGATCATTACGATCTTCTT